GCAGACCGCAGGCAGTCTGTATACAGATTAATTATATAAATCTTAAATATTTTTTTATAATAAAGATTTTAAATACAAGACAGGCCTGATAAGCTAAGCTATTTATAGCTTATAATTTTATAATTAAGTATAAGCCTGGTTATAAAAACCCCGCGGATATATTATTAAAATAATAGAATTACCGGCTAAGTACTAAGAAAAAACAAAATATTAAAATATTACTAATATTCCAGAAAAAGCTATAACTAAAAAATCTTTGAAAATTATTTTTATAAAATAAGATAAATTTTAAAAGATTATTTTAAAAAATAGGAAAAAATCCGGAATTTTTATTTCTAAAGAGTAATATTAAAATTAGAATTAATAATATTTATATTCTAGATTATACCGTATTACGCAGAAGCTAAGTTAATACCTAAACTAATTTATAAAAAAATCAGACCAGTAAATAAATAAATAATAATTATTTACAGGAATATTAACTTAATATATAAATAAATTCACGGGTAAATTAAACTAATAAATAAATAAAAAATAATAATACCTTACAGATAAGCTTAATTAGCGCGCAGGGTAATTACAGAAAGACTAAATATAGATTTAGTACTAGAGATCTTAAAGCCTTAATATAACAAATATAGCTTAAAAATATTTTTATATAATATATAATTAATTTATAATATTTATTTAGTTAAATTATTTTTCTAGAGGCTTAAAGCTTTAATAAAAAGGGCCTTATATAATATAAAGATATTTTATATATATCTCTAGATATTACGCTATAGCAGGAGCTATTATATATTTATTATAATAATTTTTTTATAAAATATTTCAGATAAAATAAAATACTAAACTTTATTTATTAGTATTTCTAATAAGATCTTATACTAAAAAATATAGTAGATTATATTACCAGTTATATTATTTATTAATATAATAAAGCCTTATATTATTATAAGTATAAGTAGTTAAATTCCTTACTAGTCCTAGAAGGACTATAATAATTAATAATATTTAATTTTATTATAGATTTACCGCTAGCAGACCGCAAAAATTCTGTCTGTGATATAATCCTAGTTTTAATAAACAGGTTTATTAAAATAATATGATATATCCTAGTATAAGATATTATTAATTCTGAATAATTAGCTAATATTTTTATAAAAAAGATTATTTGTAAATATAAAGCGCTAAAAAGATTAATTAGTAATAAGAGATTATTATTTATAAATAAATACTAGAATAAATTCTGTTAGATTCTCTGAGTTAAATATTAAATAAATATAGTATTTTATTCCTAGACTGATGGTTAAACAGAATAGTAAAATTAGATTATAGAAATATACTTATATTATTATATAAACTTTTAATAAGATAACTGGGCAGATTAATTATTATTTATAGAGTTTATTTATAATAATTTAACCTATGCCTTTTTAGGTGTGTCCCTAAACCAGGTATTAATAGATTATACCCTTGTAGTATTTTAGCTATCTGACTATGAGACAGAGATATAATATAAATTAATTAAGTAATAATAAAAATATATAAATAATCTTTAGGAAAGATTAAAAGAACATTTCTAGTAAATAATTAAAATACAGAAGAAATATTATAATTATTATTATAAACTAATAATATTTTAAGTTAATAACAAGGTCCTACTTAATAAAAGAAACTTATTAATATAAAAACTATCTAAAAAATTAGATAGCAAATATATCAGACTATTTAAAATTATAAAACCTATTAAAAAATAAGTTTATTAACTATGCCTGCCTGGACTATAAAAACAGGTCTATTTAACTTTTTATATTTTTTTTTAAAACTATAAATTTAGTAGACTAGCAGCGGAATACCTGTAGTCTAAAAATCTATTAAAATTAATAGCTAAGATAAATAAGAGATAAAAAAAATTATTATATATTAAAACTAGTAAGAGAAAATTTAATATTTTATTAAATAGTTTAAGTTTCCTAATTATAAAAATATATAAGAACCTGTAAATAATCTAGCAAATATTTTAAAGGCTCTAAATATATATAAAAATTTAGAATTTTATTATCTTTTTTAAAAACAGAAATAATATTTTTTCTTATAGGGTTTTTTATCTCTTTAATAAAAAACAGATCTTTAATAATCTGCTTACGGGACAGTAGTATATTTTTTTCTTTTTTATCTTATAAGATTAGAAGTTTTAATAGTATATTAAAGGCTATAAATTAATAATAAAATATAAAAAGGAATAGCCTAAAGGCCTGTTTTTATTTAATATAAAAAAAAAGAATTTCTTATTTTTATTAAGCTTTATTTAGCATCTTATTATCTTTAATCACAGGTATTATCTTTTCCTATACTAGATTAAAATAGGGTAAACCTAGTATCCTCTGCTATAACTATATAAGGTAAAATATATTATAATTTAAGGACTAATATACTTAAAATATTTTATTTTTAGTACTCTAGTAATAGTATTTAAAAAACTCTATAACTATAATAAATTACTTATATATTTTTATTAAGTTTTTACTTCCGCAGGCAGCCTATATTTTACTTATTTTTTTTATAAAAGAATAGGAACAAGCTTATAAGAATATTTTATAATTATATAATACTCGCATACTTTAGTAATATATAATTAAACATATATTACTTACAGTTTTAACTCTAGTACTTTCGTGTATTAAAAATACTAGGCTAAAGTAGGCGCGGTTTCGGGGGGCTCTGGGATAAAATAAGATAGTAATATAAAATAGTCCTAATCTCTAAAAAAGACTAGAAAAAATTAAAAAAATAAATAATAATTAATTTAAAGGAACTTTTTATCTAAGATCCTAATAATATCTTCTTAAATATCTTGTATAAAACTAGGGATATTATTTTTTAATAATAAAAGAAATATATTAAAATATCTTAGATTTTTATTAGGAAAAATAACAGAATAATTATTTTTAAAAAAATAAAATAAAAATAATATAAGATCCGGAAAAAAAAATTTTATATTTTTTAAAGTTTTTATATTTTAGTTATTCTTACTATAGTATAAATTTAAGAATATATAAAATTTATCTCTTTACTTAAATATCTCTTCCCCTGCAGGATCAGGTATATTAATAAAAATTATAATCTATAAAAGAATTAGTATTCTGTTTTATTTTTTTATATAAGATAATAATATACCGAAGCTAGTAACTCCTCGGACTTAAAAAAAATAGTTTACAATCCGAAAACAGCTCTAGAACACAGGTTAATAAGTCCTTATTAGTAATAAAGCCCTCAGCAGCGGCAGCCTCAGCAGCATAATAAATATCTCTAGCGCGCTATATAAGAGCTGTATAAGCAAAAGACCTCCCTAACTAGAAGAAGAGTTATCTTATTAGTTTTAGTAACACTCCCATGAGTTAGCCGCTTAGTAGTAGCGACTTTATTTTTCTTATAGGGATGACGGCCGGCTAACTTAATAGTATTCTTTAGTTTTTTAAAGGCCTATACACACTTAAAATTAGCCTTATACTAGCCTAGCCTATATACCGCAGGGCTCCTGCCAGGATTTTAAAAAAAAGAAACTTATAAAAGTAGAAGAGGAATCTTTTTTTAAAAAAAAAATAAAATAGATATACTTTTACTCTTTTTAGGCTATAATAATATTCAATAATAAAAAAATAAAAAACTGGCTAAAAGATTAATTTTTATATAAATTAACACGAAATCTGTCGCCAGGGCAGTACAGAATCTTATAATTAATTTTTTTTAACACAAGAAATAAATATAAGAATTTAAAAAAAAATTTAATTTTACTAAATCTACTTATATTATTTATATTTACAGAGGATATTAAGTAACCTCAGATACCTGTAAAATACTTAATTATTTTAATTTTTATATAGTAAATTAATCTCTTATTAAATATTAAAATTATAACAGCTATAAATAAATTACAGAAATAATTTTAAGTATAAAATAATTTTTAAAATAAAATAAAATAATTCTGCTTTATATAAGAATACTAAAATAAAAATATAAGATATTATATTAAGTATTTAAGGACGGCTGCTTTATTAAAAAAGATATATTTATTACTAATATTTATTTTAGTATAAAATATAAAATAACCGGACCGCCAGAGATCCGCAGAATTACTAAAATATTTAGAAACTAATTCCCGCGATAATATTATACACAGGAAACCTCTTATTTAAAAAAAATTATCTATTTAATCTCTAGAAGGTTAAATAATTAATTTTATTTATTTTATACTTGTTTTTTAACTCCTTATATCTCTTAGCGCGTAGCAGGCGGTCCGTAGGCGTATTGCAGGCGTCCCGAACTCCTTGGTACATCCATCTAAGGGAACCAAGTGCCCGGAACAGAACCTTCTTGGCTGCCCCTTACAGTACACCTCCGGCGGTCCGGTTGCCCCGTATTTCGCGCTGAGGTAAGCACAAGTGACACTACTATTAACTCCATATAAAGCACGTTAGTTAAAACATGTCTCGGTGGCGCAATTGGTTAGCGCGTACGACTGTTAATCGTGAGGTTGAGAGTTCAATCCTCTCCCGGGACGGTTTATTTTTTTATCTCCTTTACCTTTTGATTTTTAAATATTCACTCCATATTCATTTGATTTGACCTGTATGTACTAACTACTACACACATTGTTGATGTGTTGTCAGTCTTTTTCTCGACAGGGTACGTCTCTTCCCTGGCAATCTCGTGGTTAACTCTACAAATGGCCGTTTCTTGCCCTACAGTATAGAAGCACCCTATTACTGTCTGAGCTGTCGATTTAGTCCAGGCATATAAAAAAACACATAATCCACGTTACTTTTCGGGCATCGTAGGTAGCTAGGCACATAGTATAGATCCACTCCAATGTCATGATTTTTTTTCTTATCACCCGTCTTCTAGAGTCAAGAGCTTTCATCACCAAAACTTACAATCTATTAAATCAGTCAACCCCGTTCTTGCTACTTCACGCACTGTCTCAATGCGCCTTTAGCATGATTGATGCAGAAACCACTAAGCTACGCCTTCGTAACTACTATGGCCACAAGAATCTCGCCGAGGTCGAGTCAGCCATCCAGGCCTTTCGCAAAGAGAACGGTACTCACACGAAATTACTACTACCATGGCTTTGGACAATAGGCTACTTTATCCTCGTCTTCCAGTTTCGTGTTAATGACTACTGTGATGAAATCAAGATGAACATCAGCAAAGAAGGGGCAGGGACTGCCAAACAACGCCTTATCAGGATGATGTACCGGCAATATCAGATTTTCACTGACTACACTGTGGAAGAGAGCTGGAGCCTGTACCATATCGAAGGGGCCATGATGTGGTGCCTCCATAGCGGCCCTCTCTGAATGTCACCGCGCGATTTGGTCAACATTGAAAGATATCGTGGAGCTTAAGACTAGTATTTCCGATGATTCTATATCCAGTGGAAGTCTAGAAGAAGACGACGAACAACTCACAGAGGCCGATCAAATTACGGATTCCGTCGCAGTTCAGTCTCTTCGAAATCGGATCGCTCGTAACTGCGCCAAGGCCAAATTCCTGGAGGTTGAATTCCCGCCCCTAGAGTTACCAAACTTTGGTCCCGTCAATCGTACGGCTATATTGAACCATATTCTATCCACGGCAGGGAGGGAGATCCCACGGTTTACACGATTCTTTGGGGATGTCGACCGGAGAAGGGTTGTGCAGATCCTAGAGGAGGGACTTAGTCCAGCAGTGAGAAGGATCTGTGACGAAGGACTCTTTGACATTGAGAGGTAAGCCAGTCGCCTACATGAGAACTTATTCACAATTTGGCTCATGTCTATACTTAGTATCAAGAGTATTCATCTTGTGGGAGAAGATCCTGCCAGTTCGCGGCATGCAGGAGTGTACATTCATATTCTCTCCCCCTCCGAAAACGCCCTCGCTTTCTGGCTCTATATTGGCCAAAGCATTGTGCTAAAAGATCGAGTTCGTCTACATAAAAGTCGCCGGCATCAAAGTCAACACGCTTCCCTCCACTATTTTATCTGGAATACAACAATGCGCAAGAAATCAGATTTCGTGACATTATATACGGCCTCCCACGACGAGCTTTGTCCTACCCATCGCCAGCTGCTCCTCAACCTGGCAGAAATGTGGATGTGCTGTTTATTTCAGACATTATCAACTGTACATCTGGAGAAGTACCTGCCGACTCCTGGTCCCAAGCCCTGGGCTGGCCATCATTTAAATGTTGCTCTCCCGCTATTCCAATCATTCACGGATTCACCTGATCAAGATGCAGTATCCAGGCAGACATTTACGGAACTCCTCCGATCCACTGATCCAGAAATCCGTCAATGGGCCGAAAGTCTCCGGGATGCGTATAATCAGCTACGGAACTCCCCCGACCCTAACCTTCGAGATTACTGGAATCAGCAGATGCGTTACTCGATGGACCAAGATGCTATTGCCCAGCAGGCAAAATCAATTTCCCACATACAACAATATCTTTCTGGGAAAAGCTGTCAAGTAAAATTTGGCCGTAAGTGGTTAAACGGTTATTGGAACATCTCCACGGCAGTAACTTGCGGCCAGTTTACATTTGCAATACCACAGGGGCTAGAACTAGAGTTTAAACAAGGTGATCAAGTTGTCATTCAGTTCCACCTGGCCAGTAGCGAGCATCCGAGGAAGCACGTTGGTGACGCGCGGGGTACGGATCCGGCTTGCCGACTTGCTGTTTCTATTAGCGGACATGATGGACAAGGCAGGTTTCACGCGTGGTTATTAGTGAAAGGGGCCTATAAGACTCTCTGCAAGATGAACACATTGGTGGATATCCTCGAAGGGTATAGTTATGAGGAGAGAAGAAGGCTCAATCTCCCAAGGCGCTGGTATACCGACAGTTCAGCCGGGCAGAAACATCACTACACATGAGCCAATTAAACTATGCGACTAGCAGGTTAGTTAGTTGTACATATTGTGAGAGCCAGGGGAACAACTGAGACAGCCTGGGGTATGTATTAATAGATAATCCCGTTGGTAGTCTTCAACTATTTTAACCACGAGATTATAAATACATGAGGATTGATACAACCACACCCCCAATCCGCTCATGACACACCCCACGTGACTCAGGTACTTACTAAGTACCCGTGATAAGTACTTTATTAAAGATCTTAAAAAACTTTTATAAGTAGATTACTTTATTATTATAACTAATTAGTTTAGTTTTTAAAATACAATATTATTTTCTAAGATTTCTAGTATTTTATTCTTTTTTTTTTATAATTTTAGCTAAAATATTAAAATTAATATTTAAAAAAGAAAACTTTATTTTCAAAAGTTCGTGTGGTTTAGGCGGTAAGTATCCCGAAGGCGGTAAGTAAAGAAAAGGCAGAAAAGTACTTGAATTCTATGAGGTTACTAAGTACCCGCGTCACGTGGGGTGTGTCATGAGCGGATTGGGGTGTGGTTGTATCAATCCTCAAATACATTTAGCCAACCTGGCGACACTTACAGAAAGCCATACCAGAGAGGACTATATAGAACGCGACCCGATAAATCAAGTGTCTCGGTGGCGCAATTGGTTAGCGCGTACGACTGTTAATTGTGAGGTTGAGAGTTCAATCCTCTCCCGGGACGGCAAAAGTTTTTTTAGAATCTAACAATTCTGTTAGGCTGCCTCAAGGGCAGTTTCTGCCAAGGCGTACTGTGCCGCCTTCGGCGGGCGACGGTACGTAGGATCCTTAATGGATAAGATAAGTAGAATAATCTTAAATAAATTAGAAGGTTAAAAAATATAAATAGATCTTTTTTTACCCTTTTTTACCCTTTTTATTTAATAATTCTTTTTTTTCTTTATATTTGAATTTTTAAATAATATATATTCATACAGAGCTTCTCTTCTTAGTGAGTATTTTTATAATTATTATATTAATTTCAGTATTATGATTTTTTTTATTTTTATTATATAATAGGATTATAGGTCATCTAAATGATATTTTAAACTCTTATATAAAAGAATCGTCAGATGGGGTAGGTAGGTCACATGGGTTGAATAGAAATTTCAAATGACTTAATAGAATAAAGGAAATTGATCAGATTAGATGAAGTAAACAGTTCATCTAGATCACCTAGATCTGAAATGAATAGACTAGAGATCCTACCATTCGCTATGCATGTAGATAGGTAAAATTAATTAAATAAATAAATAAAATTTAATTAAATAAATTAACTTAATAAAAAGAATAAATTAATATAAGTTATTAATTATATATTTATAAATAATTAAATTAGGGCTAATTTAATCTAGCCTTAAATAAATATTATAAATATAAAATTATTAAATTCTTTTAAACCTTTAATTATAAATTATATTATTAATTTAAGCTTTTAAGATTTAATCTTATAGATTATTATTAAATTAATATTTAATTATTTAAATAATTAAATAATTAAGATCTTATAATTAGAATAATCAGAATAATTAAGATTTAATATATAAATTATAATAAAGTTATTAAAGTAATATTAGAATAATTAAGATAATAATAATATTTACTTTATAATTTATAAAATAAATAGGTAAAATATTCTTTTATATTAATTATTTAAATAAAGCTATTAATTATAGTAATTAAAATAAACTTTTAATTTCTTAAATAAGAAATTTATTAAAATATATTTTTTAATTTTTATTAGATTTTAATAACTAGTAATTTCCTAAATAAAAAGATAAGTTAATTTAAAATAAATTTTTTTTTTATTTTTTACTTATTTTAAGCTTAGTTTTATCTTATTTTTCCTATATAATTTAGTAATAGAAATAAGAGTTTAATAAAGTAAGAGTAAAATAACAATAAATTTTAAATAATTTTGGTTGTAAAGCTAAATTAGATAATTTTAATAAATTAAATAATATTAAATAATCTTATTTAATATACCTTTTTAATTTTAAATTAAATAAACTATTAATTAAAACTATAAATATTAAATAATTAATTATTATTTAATAAGATATTAAATATTAACTATATTTAGTTTATAAATTTTATATATTTTTATTTAGTTAAATATTTAATAAGGCTGTCTATAATTATTTAATTAGTAGGGACCTATTTTAATTTAATAGATTTTTTATTAATTTCTTATTTAAGTTAATAGTTATTAATATTTATATATTTTAATTTAATTTTATAAATTAAATTAGACTTGTTAAGTAAATTAATTATTTAGTAATTATTATATTAAATATATAATTTTTTTTTAGGATTAAACCTTACAATAGTAAATAAGTATTTTTATTATAAAAAATACTTATTAACTATAGTTAAGACTCATAATTCTACTTTAATAATAAATAGAATAATTATTTTTTACTTTTTAGCTAACTAATTAATAAGTCTACTAAATAAGTAGTATATAAAGCTTTTAAATAATATTCTTTATAATAAATTTATATAAGCTGTATTACTAACTATTTTGAAACTTAGTAGTAATTTTAATTAATTTATTAAATTAAGACTATATTAAATTAAATTAAATTAAGTTTTATATATAATTTAAATAAGATTTAGCCATATATTCTGCAAGGATTTTATAACTTTTTATAATATTTAGCCTAAAAATAATTATAGGATAAAAAATTAAGCTAATTTTCTTTTAATAAGTAAGATAATAAAGCTTAATAAGTAGCTACCTTATTAATTTACTTAAATTACTAAATAATAAAAATATTTTGAGTAAATTTTAATTAGCTAATTTAAAATAGTAAGCAATTTTTTTAATATAATCTACTTAATTAAACTAAATTATTTAATTCTGCTAGTTTTAAATAATCTTTATATTTAGGAATTAATAAATTTTACTTAAATTTTTTAGATTATATATTAAAAATAATTAATCTTTTAATTTATTAATTTTCAATTAATAATTTTAATTATATAATAAAATAATATTATCCATATAAATTATTAAAATCATATAATTATTTATAAATAAGCATGGATTTTTAGGTATTGATTTTAGGCCTAATTTTTACAGAGTATTCCTTATTTCTTATTATTATAGTAATAAGGATTAATATAATCTATATAAAGTTTATTTTAGCTTAAAAACCTTATTTTATTAACTGAATCCAAAAGGTAATAATATATAAATTAATTTATTTAATTTATTATTCAAAAATATATTTATTATATTTTATTAAGTTATTTTAAAGTTAAAAGCAGTAATTAAGACTATAATAATCCTAAATATTCGCGTAAGATAATAACCTTAGAAATAAGATTATTTATTAGTTAAAGGTCTTTATAAATATATATTTTTATTTTAAATTTTAATAATTAACTTTAATTAATAAATTTATATTTTTATATTTATTTTGATAATAAGATTTTTTAAATTAAATTATCTGTTTTAGAAATAGCTTCCCAGGTATTTATTTTAGTTGATGAATTATATTTAATTTTGCATATGTTTAGCTATTTATCTTAAAAAAATAAATTTATTATTTTATTTTAATTAGTTAACTTAATAAGCAAATTATTTTAATATAATTTATTATTATTAATTTAAGCTAATACAAAATTTTAAAGCATTTTTAAAGCTCCTAGGTCAGATAATTCTAATCTATTTCTTTTTAAGGATAGTAGTTTATAAAAATTATTATAATTATTAAAATTAAATAATAAATTATTAATAATAACTTCAGGTGATTAAAAATATAATATAAAAGATTAATCTCTTAAAATTTTATTATCTTAAATATTTAATTAAATTAAATTATTTTAATTATTTAATTTAATAATTTAATTTTTATATTCATGTTTAGATTTATAATAAATAGAATTATATTTACTAGGTAGTTCTAATTTACCTTATTTAAATTTAAAATAAATATTATTAATAATTTTATTCTCAGTAAACCCTAATTTAGTAGTTTTAGGTAAATCAATCAAAATTAAAAAAAATTAAATTATTAATTTTTTTAAAATTAAATAGTTCGGGATTTTCTAATCTAATTAGATCTAGTTTAAATATTTAAATATTTTATTTATCTTTATAAACCTTTATTTTATCAAAAATATAATTATATACTAAAATAATCTTATTTTAATTAAAGATCTATATTTTTTATATATTTAGGGCAATATATTCTATCAAATAATTAATAAGAGCTCTTGGTTTAAGCTTACTAAGCCTAAAAATATTGAAAATCCTTATATAGGCTTAGTAATTATACTATTTTAGGTTAGAGAGGTTTGGCTGAGGTATTATATATAAAAGTAATTAATTAATTTAATTAAATAAGGTTAAATGCAGGGTATTCTATTTTAGTGAATATATAAGGATTTAATTTAATATATAAATAACTATATTTATTATTTTAGGCTATAAATATAGTAATAATCCTAAATTAATAAATAAAACTTATATTTTTTATGTGATTAAAGCACCTAAATATTTTATAAATAGATTTTACTTAGATTATCTAATCAGGCTAATAATACAGATTATCTCTTTAAATCTCGCGTAATTATAGAAATAAGCTAGAGTTTTATCTTAATCTGAATGAAATTGTTTAATAGTTATATAATATTAGTATTTAATATATTAAATTATTTTAATAATTAAATTATTTATGTAATCTTTTAATAAAATTGCTTTAATTATATAGAACTTCAAATAAGAGTAATATATATAGTTAATATATTATTTTTAGTAGATCCCCTAATTTAAATAAGATCTTAATAAATAGTTTTAAATAGTTTAGTCCTTAATTAAATTAAAATTTAAGATATTTAATGTTTTAATATTAATAATTGTCAGATGGGGTAGGTAGGTCACGTGGGTTGAATAGAAATTTCAAATGACTAGATAGAATAAAGGAAATCGATCAGGTCAAGTGAAGTAAACAGTTCACCTGGACCACCTAGATCTGAAATAGATAGACCAGAGGTCCTACCATTCGCTATACATATAGATAGGTAAAATTAATTAAATAAATAAATAAAATTTAATTAAATAAATTAAATATATAAATTAACTTAATAAAAAAAATAAATTAATACAGATTATTAACTATATATTTATAGATAATTAAATTAGGGCTAATTTAATCTGGCCCTAAGTAAATATTATAAATATAAAATTATCAGATCTTTTTAAGCCTTTGCTTATAAATTATATTATTAATCTAGATCTTTAAGATTAATCTTATAAATTATTATTAAATTAATATTTAATTATTTAAATAATTAAATAATCAAGATTTTATAATTAAAATAATCAGAACAATCAAGATTTAATATATAAATTATAATAAAATTATTTAAATAATATTAGAATAACCAGGGTAGTAATATTTACTTTATAACTTATAAAAATAAATAAGCAAAATATTTTAGATCCTTTGTATTAATTATCTAAATAAAGCTATTAATTATAATAGTTAAAATAAATTTTTAATTTCTTAAATAAGAAATTTATTAAATTATATTATCTAATTTTTATAGGATTTTAGTAATTAATAATTTTTTAATTAAAAAGATAAATTAATCTAAAAAAAAAAATTTTTTAAAAATTTTTCTTTTTTATTTTTTACTTATATTAAGCTCAGTTTTATCTCACTTTTCCTATATAATTTAATGGTAGAAGTGAGAGTTTAATAAAGTAGTAGTAAAGTAAAAGTAAATTTTAATTTTATAGGGTTATTAGATGATTCTAATAAATTAGATAATATCAGGTAACTCTATTTAACATATCCCTTTAGTTTAAATCAATAAATATTAATTAAAACTATAAATATTAAATATTAACCATATTTAGTTACTTAGTAAATTTTATATATTCTTATTTAATCAGGTGTTTAATAAGGCTATCTATAATTATTTAATTAGTAGGAACCTATTTTAATTAAATAAATTTCTTATTAATTTTTTGCCTTAGCCAGTAATTACTAATATTTATATATTTTAATTTAGTTTTATAAAT